AAAGGCTTGATTAATGGTTGAACATTAAAAAGAAGATGTTTGTGTGGAGTCATGTGATTAGTAACACATGTGTCTAAGATTCAAGGATTGACACCTAATTGAGAGGATGCACACATATGAGAACCCTCAGAATCGATAGCATACTTACTGAACAAAACTGCAAAGTGTGCAAAGGCAGAATCATCCACATTAGAGGCATCAGGTGTGGAAGTATTAGACATATGAGCTTGTTGGAACAAGATCAACGGGTGTTGATACTGCTCCTTGGTGAATCCATGGGCTGAGGTATCAGCATGCTGAGAAGTGGAAGTGGCAGCAGTGGTGGGTGGAATTTCAGTCTGAACACAAGAAGCATACTTCTTACTCCTGATGAATTTGAAATCAGCAGGGAACCCATCAAGTCTGTAGCACTTGTTTATAGTGTGGCTAGGCTTCTTGCAGTACTTGCAAGAGACGTTTGGAGCAGTTTTTCTGGCCTCAAAATTCACCTTTTGACTTAAATTCCTATTTGTGGTAGGAGTACCAAGAGACACCAAGAAAGAGGTAGCATCACCAGAGAAGTTTGGAGTAGCAGAATGAGCTTCTCTTTGACTCTCATCTTGCTGCAAGAGACTATAAGCTTTCTTGATTGGTGGAAGGGGATTCATCAACATAATGGCATTCTTAACAGTTGTGTAGGACTCATTGAGACCATTAAGAAATTGAAACAACTGTTGGTCCTCTATGAACTTAGGCAGTGCACCACACGAACAAACATGACCTACATATGATGAATTCAGCTCTTCCCACAGACTCCTCATTTTGGTGAAGTAAGAAGCTATATCAAAGGAGCCTTGAGTAGTAGAGTTGATCTCCCTTTGTATTTGGATGTATTTAGACCCATTTGACTGACCAAACCTTTCATTTATATTTTTTGAGACTTCCTTGGCACTTTTAAAACACATGACACTAACAGTTATTTATCTAGATACCGAATTAGTTATCCAGACTTTGACCATATCATTGCATCTCTCCCAATATGAATAATAAGGGGAGCCAGGAGTGGGTTGGTTGACTTTGCCATCTAATAGACTGAGCTTGTTCTTTGCAGAGAGGGAAGTAAGCATATTGTTACGCCATAACACAAATCCAACCACTAAATGGTACATATACCAGTTGACTTCTGGGATTATCAGAGGAATGAATATCAAAGGGATGTGAGGGATCCAAGGAAAACGAAGCAAATCTGTTGGAAGGTGAAGTAGAGTTAAAATCATCTATAACACTACTCATTTTCAGCAGTAACTAAAGCTAATACTAAGAAACTACAACAGTGTATTGAGTAATGAGGAATGGATCCAAATCAAGTACATGTAATGAACAACAACAATGAAAAAATATCAAGGCTTGTAATTAGGAATAACAACAATACCGGCCTTCTTCTGAAAACCCGAAGAAGTAAGGTCTTATTCAGCCATGAACCCTACGTAGAAAAATCCAGCAGAAACTCTCGAGAAACTTGAAGTTTAATGAAGATCCAAGAACGAAAAGTCGATTAAACGCGGAGATTGAAAGAAGTCCCATATTTCACGAGCGTACTTTAAACGTCGACGATCAGAATCAATCTTTAACGATTTCAAACAAGGTTATCATCAAAAGAAAGCTTGCGACGAGAGGAATCTATATTCCTACTATGATACCATGTTAGGTTAGAAGCTTGTTAGCTATGGCAGAATTGAATGAAGAAAACCCTAGAAGGGTTGAGAGAAGAAGAGACAGATGAGTGAGTCGATCAAAATGTTATTGACCAAAACTGATTTTATTATTGTGTAGAGAGTATTTATATTTACAAGTGAAAAATGAGGAAAACAATTGTAAAATATTTACATTGCTAAAATACAACAGATGTTGCTAAGTGTTTATACGTGGGCCTTCTGCTTTCCTTTATCCGATTGGGCCTGTGTCAACTGGGCCTGAGATGTATCTGGACTAACAATTGAAAACCAACTACCGCTTCCAGATCAATAGAATAATAGGACAATATACAAGTAACGGAATCATGTTTGATTAACAAAATGCAATTAGAAAATTTGTTCACGTTTCGCATAAGGACGGCCTACTTTTGCCCGATAAGCATTAGCTAGTCGTTGACATAGACGAATCCATGATTTGAAATTTATAGGTTGCAGTGACCTCAAGTTAATACTTACTACAATAATAACTGAATTTATGGTCAAATACTCATAGACATTTAGTGGATTCCTTAATATATATACAGAAACTACTAGGTTCACGTTAACATGTAACCAACCCTCTAGATCATTGAACTTAGGATCAACCATAATATGAGGAGCTTCTTGTTGGCTGCTTACAATATCATTCGATGCTAATGCCCTGCTTGCTTCTGGCGCTTGCAATTTTTCATCCTCGAAAGGAAACCTTTTGTATGCTGGAGGAGCTGTCGGCGGCAAATATGAACTGGAAAGACAGAATTGAAATATGGTCAATACGACAGAATTTCAACTGAACAGAGGATTCGTGTTTCGAACTAAAACTCATAACGAAAAAAAGAAGAGGGGCGTGGGCGTCTTATGTCATCGAGGATGATGAAGAGTTTGAGTGGAGAGGATGTTACGGGCTGCCTCCGTGGATCCTTGGCTCCGGTAGTGATGCACTCTATGCGGACTGCACGAGTGTCAGCCGTGCGTGTGACGAGTACTTACATGGGCTTGGGGACAAAGAGAGGGAAAGGGGAAAGTTAGATTAATGATAGCAAAAGAAACGGCTGGGAAACAAGAAGAACTGAGCATTACCTGATCTCTATTTTGTCTAAATTAAGACAGGCCAATAATCAGTTTGGTCAGCTCCCTGTTTGCCAAATTTATCATGAAGCCTTTTTGTAAATGGTTCAGGCATCTTTTTCATCTTGATTTCTTGAAGTGTATCAAGAAATGATAAATCATTTTGAAGAACTAGTTGCATGCAGTTCTCAAATTTGATATGAGAAAGCAGGAGCATGGCCTTATCTTCCACCCTCCATTCCACCAAAGAGAACAAAGTTGAGAATTCTAATTGTCTGAGTTCGGGAAAACTTAAAGAAGAACAGACCATCTTTGTCCCAGTGAAAGCATCATCCTGGAGTACTAGACGCCTTAGTTTGGGGAGCTTCCCTAAAGTTGCCAATGGATCTTCCTTAAGTTGAGTACTGCTAAGGACTATCATTGTAAATTCATTGGAGATCTGATTGCGTGGTGGCAGCTGATCGATATAACCCTCAAAGAACAGTTTTGGTGACCTCCCAGAAGCTAGTAAGTCCCGAAAAAGATTATGCCTTTTTTCAGTATAACAGTCAAAGTTTTTGATTTCAAGGGAAGAACACCTCCATTTCTTGGAATCATGTTTTAGACGGTCGATTATTTCCTTAAGGTCCTCAGGGCTCTCTTCAACCTTGGCATAGAAGTACCGTAGTTTGGCCAACTTGAAGAGATCACGAATTTCACACACCTTCGGCGTGAAGTTCTTTAATGTTTGAAGCTCTGACAACGCATCCAATCGAAGTTTTTCTCCATTTTGCATCTCAAATGTTCGCGGAAGATAGAGATGCTGCAATCTTCCCATCCTCCGCAACACATTAGGAATGACAATCTTGCATAAATCATTGATTCTCAAATCAAGGACTTGCAAGTATGTCAAGTTGCTGATAGATGACGGCAATTCCTTGATGAAACATCCTTTGAAGCTCAGATACCTCAAGAGTGTTAGAGCAAAAATATCTTCCGGTAGTTTCCCTTCTGGAAAGTCCATCCTGTCAAAATCAAGAATCCTTAGTGCATGCAGTTTCTTAATATCCGACATTATGAACCAGGGCCATACAAAGTCTAGTTGTTGATGCTGCTCATCTGACTTAACGATTCGAAGACTCCGAAGGTTTCGGTGTTGGAGCTTGCCATGACCATCATATTTCCCTTGATAAATGACTAGACGACGTGTTTTGCTAAAAGAAAATGAAGACAGATTTTCTTCTGTTCGCAAATCGATGACCTTCAAAAGGCCACTCTCTTCTGCTTTTGCGACGCACATATCTCCCATTAGTCCAACAAGACGGCAGGACTCCTTCATTTCTTGGACTTCTATCATGTCCTTCTGTGCTAGAACCCTTAAATTCTTTTGAGTTAAGTCCAAGAGTGTCATCTTGCTTCCACACTCCCGAGGTGATATCAAACCTTCAATTGTCCATAAGTGAGACAACTTCTCTGTTTCTATTTCCAGATCCTCCCTAAAATGGCCCAAGTACAGAAAAAATAGTTTTGACTCATCCGGCAAATCATCATAACTTGGAGTCATAACTTGGGATAGGTATGATCTGGCATTTTTCAGCATGATCTCCCTCTCACTTGCATCGTTACGTGCTAATAAGTTTGCAAGTGCTATAATTGCCCCTGGTATACCTTTACACAGTTCTAGCATTTTCTTGCCCCTTGTTTCCATATCTGGTTTGATTTCAGCTTCTACAATAAAGCAGACATGTTAGAAGATACTCACCATTTTACTCTAACTAGTTTTATGGTACAAGCTTTGCGCGTGTACCCATGTTAGTGAATATACAATTTTTTTAACTTTTTAAAAAATCGTATAAATATTATTAAATAATATATTTACGTTAAAAAAATATACTCCCTCCGTTTCAGTTTATACGAACCTATTTTCTTTTTAGTCCGTTCCAAAAAGAGTGACCACTTTCTAAATTTGAAAAAAACTTTAACTTAAACTTACAATTCTACCCTTAATGAGAAGTCTTTATAACCGCACAAATACTCTGGGCCCCTTTTTGATTTGTTTAGGACCACACATATCAAAAATCTTTATTTTTTCTTAAACTTTGTGCTCAATCAAACAGGTTTACATAAATTGAAACGGAGGGAGTATAAGTTTTTAAAAATTATGAATACTTATCATATTTAGCTAGCTCGATAAATGAAGTAATATGACTTATTG